TACATACATACATACATACATACATACATACGGTCGCGTATATACGTAATTCGCCCGGCGAGTGGTCAGTGTGGGGCCCCGGCCCGGCCCCGCCCCCCCTCCCCCCCCCCCCTCCCCACCCAACTCGCCACTCCTTCCTACGGATTAGCAGACACGCGCCATGGACGCGAAATATCTTAGCCATCGCGAGGTACTAAGATAACAATCTGAATCAATACGTAATCTAGGTGGACGGATTAATAAACAGACACACTTTTTAACGATGGTCTACTTTGATCGGAGCCCTGCATGTGTATTAAGGACGAGACGGCCAGAAATCATTATCAAGTTTTCAACCTCAAGAGATTAGATTGAATTTTATTAATGATTCGTGTATGTGTTTAGGCGTACCTCATCATTCTCTCAAATGTAAAACGCATCGTACTCGGGACATTCTATTTTGAAGCGAGAAAAATAGCGATTAAATATTATATGCGTATAAACAAAACGTGTAAATTTACCTTTGTGTATTCATCTTTAAACAAAAAGCATCAAAAAGATCATGAGAAAGAAAGAAAAAAAAATGCAACTGATTTTGTTTCGTATCATCTATGTAATTACATTTTAATTTATATATTATCTTCAATGTATATTACGTTTATTGCCGTTTTGACATAAATTCGCTCTTGGTGCTCTTGGTATTCAAATAGAACAAAGCGGTATCATATGTGTGTACAACTATTAGAATACTGATTGCGGCAAGCGTTTTGATCCTCAGAGAAATAGATCGCGCGATAAGAACGTGCGATAAGGCGTGCGAATCACCAATTGCATCTCGCTGCAGAACTGCAACGAGATCTAGTTCTTTATGAATACTTTTGTTCCCGTTAAGTTGCGTAACATGGAAATTGGCACGTTGAAATTTTCAAGATTTTATTAAAAAGTGTGGAGGACCGATTTGTATGTAATCTATTTTTATATTCCGCACAATCAGTCGATCGCAGAGTTATCTCTGTCCTTATCCATGATATTAAAGATGTATCACATTTTGCTTATTTACAATAAAAAAATTTGCGGCGGTTTAGAATGAATAGATGAAAAAATTGTTTAAATGTAAATTAGAAGTATGCTTTAATAAAAATGTAATTAAGAAATAATAATGAAAAAAATATCAATTTTTTTATATAAATATTATATTTATATAAATATTATATTTATATAAATTATTATATAAATATTATATATATAATTTTATATAAATATTTTTATAGAGTATAGTATTTAACACGAATTATAAAATTTCAATTAAACATTTATTAAAAGTACAAACGAAACAATTACTGGTACAAATAAAATTAATTTTTTATTTACAAAGCAATTAATCTCTGCATCGCTATGAAACTTTACATAAATAATCTTGAAATACTCATATAAAAAAATTGAAACTTTTATCATTATCTCTTAATTACATTCTACTAAACATACCTCTATTTATTTATTTAAATAATTTTTGATCTAGGTTTTAAACCGTCGCTAAACAGTTTTGTATTATTTTTAAATGTAATTTAGAATAATCTACAAGTTTTTCATAATTTTTTCATTGTAAATAATAAAAATTGATGATATCCGCGTAATATTCTTAAATTTACCAATTACATAATTTTTGTATAACTTATTGAATTTTATTTTACATGAAGAAAGTATATTGGCAAATTCTTGCGTCAACGAGAATCGCTTTTAACCCGTGCATATAATTCTTCTAATGAACAGTATGCATGTGTAGTATGTAGCAGCGACCCAGCTATCTTGAACAAAATACGAGAAGAGCGTCAGACGGAAACCAAGATTACAAATATATATGTAACATTTAGTAATCAATCAAGTGAAGCAAAACTGATTGCTCATATTACTTACTAATTGAGGATCGTATACGATTACGGATCCCTAATTTGATTATGGAAACGTAACAAGAACATAATAATCGGCGTGGAACATGATAATCACGGTGCAGCTAATTACGCCGCTCGTCCAAACTCAGCCAAAGGCCTCTAATTAAGGGCTAAACGAGACAAAGAGCATGTCGGCGCGCTCGCGCGCGCGCGCGCATGGTCGAAATCCGCCGGTGAATCCTAGACGGATCTGACGGAGGGGGAAGAGGCCAGCTGCGCGCAAGTCGACCGAAACGAGGCTTTGGATATCAAACTGGCCCCAGCGCCTGTTGATATTAGCATTTATTTATATCTCCTGACCTCAAATATGTGTAACGTGCCGGCCCCTCTCCGACGACGGCACGACGGCGGTACGGGCACGCCTCCGTTTTCGAGGTTACGCTGCTCCGCTGCTCCGCGCGCGAGAGAGCCTCGTCGTCCCCCCCCCTCCCCTCTTCTGTCCCCCTCGTCCCTGCCGCCCGACGCCGTTGAGCTCCGTCAAATCCCCGTCGGTGGTGTAACACACACAGCGTCTTCTTTGTGACATCACATCGTGCTGGGCGAGGGCGTTCGACAAGCGCTTTACTGTCACCGGCGACGAGCAAGACGACGAACACTACGACGAGACGGGTGAGCGAAACATCAGGGATCTTCGTAAAGCGAAGCCTCGTAAATTTTATGGATCACCACGAACCTTGATTCCGATGACCTCCTGATCGAAACGTCCGTTTTTTTCGTTAAATACGCGATTATACATTCGCATTCGTCAAATAAAATTCCTAGGCACGTCGCTCTCTTTCACGATGCAGCATTCTCTTGCACGATTTATTAATTTAATTTTAATTAAAATAATAAATAAATATAAAATAATTTTAATTTGTATCGTCACAGGTTACACTGAGGTATACAGAGATAAAATACGAATACGTTGATACACAAAAAATTGGCAATAAAGTTGCTGGCAGTGAAGTCTACCAGAAAATATATATTTGCGAATGTCTCGAGCAGGAAGATTCGTACACATTCCAAACTTCAAATGATATTTCCTCGTGCGTATCTTTTTACCACGTATTAATATCAATTAATTGTTTCCTTACGTTTAAAGATATTTGGTAATGGTGCATGTGTCTTCCTCGGTTATAAAGACATTACGCGATGAATTTAAATTATCTCGTTTGAGACTTAAAAAAGGATCTAGGTTAAAGACTTAACGGGTTAAAGAACAGAATTGAAGAACACAACGACCACTTATTTATCATGTTATGTAAATAGGTCTAGTAGAAAGACACAACAACGAGTATTTTTTGGATTTCACGTTAGGAAAACGTGTTCGAGGCGAAATTTTGCTCTCCGAAATCGTTCAAAGGCTCGTCAGCGATAAATCCACGAAACAAAAATATTGTTTCGCCAACGTGGCGTGGAAGAGCGATAAAAAAAAAGTAGACGCGCGTGTTGAGTGCGCGATCGATTTGCGATGACCTCGCTATCGCGAAAGTGGAAACGACGATGCAATTTTTGATCCAAATATTTATAGCGTTCAACCGAAAGCGCCGCTACACGTGCTCGAGTGAACGTGAACCGTAAATTTATAGTCATTTTCCGAGCGAGAATATCCGTGAAATACGATGTAATATTTTTAGCAATAAAATTAGCTAAACGCGCGACACCCATCGCGCATCGCACGAGGGCTGTAAAATTAAACGATATTACAACGTAAGGCGCGATCTTTAAGATGATTAATTTTAGCCCGTTAATCCTACGAAGTTGCGTGTGCGAAGACGTAAAGACCGAGTCGGCCGAGAAAACGAAACACCGCACCTTTAATAAATCGCGGCGAGTTAAAGCGGAATATAAGGGAATCTCTGCGCAACGCAACGGTGCCATCTCTCGGTGTGTGATTTTTAATTTTCACGTAAGAGATATGAAATCGAAACGATTTATTAAATTTAATTTATCGCGCATTTTTAATCGACTTTCGGCCGGGCGGACTGCCTCCGTGTTTACCTTACCGCGATTGATCGCCCCGCACTTTCGGAGCCGAGGCTGTAATAATTAAGTTATCAGGTGGAAAGAGCGACGATAATGTTATTCTCCGAGCGAAAGAAAACGCGGCGCAAGAAAATCCTCCCGGCGAGAGCCTCCGGTGAGCTCGTGCGCGCGTAACGACAGCTTAACGTACGACGAGGAGAAGGCGAGATCGTAAAATATAATCAACGCGAAAAGGGTTAAACGGCCGAGACGGACGAAAGAGGTGGAGGACTCGGCACGTCGCGCGTTTCGCGCATAATGGCCTGACTAATGCGCAAAGCTAAATGTGCGTGGGGGATCCTTCGTAATGTGGACATCCTTGGCATAAGCATAGAAAGCTAGAAAGCCTCGGCACCGTCTATGATAACCCAAATACGAGTAGCCGCGCTCGATTATCTGACTTTGTTTAAGGAGAAATCTTCCTTTTTGTCAGTTTTTCAATCGTGCGAAATAAATCGCGTCGTCGTGAAATGTTTCACATACTATAAAAATTTCAATGGTCAGAGGTCAATTACATTTCTGAGTCTCTCGTATCTGAGAAACTATTTTCTTTTTGAACTAAGTTAGTGATTGATTAATTTAATCAAATTCTTATTCAATTAAAAGTATTGGATGAAGAGGATCGCAATTTATCGAAGCGAAGAGGCAAGAAGAAATCGCGATGTTGATCACACGAAAAGAACGATTTTAACTAAAATATCTAAAAATTTGATCAAGTACAAATCTGAAAATAATTTTGTTGGACCATCAAATCATTATGTGAAACGCTTAAACATAATAATATTGCAAAATTCTTTTCTATATTCTAGCAACCAATTTGAACGTTGCCTATGAAAAAAATGATTTTGTAGTCATAGCGAAAATGATCTAGATCTACAAAAAACTAAAATGGATAAATGACTAGCGAGTGATATGGCATATGTCTTGTATCTACTTAATACAGATGACAAAGATAAAATTTATATCTAAATAATTTGTCAAGTTTAACAAGAAAATTTCTTTATGCGCTAAATTAGATAATATATAGATAGTAATATTAGATAATATAATTAGATAATAGTCATTCACATCTCTTTGAATGAAAATAAATGTGCGATTTAATTTTGAGATCTACATTTTCTTGCATATATCGTTAGATGTTGCTGCTATAAATTCTATGCCAGACAATTTTTTAAGCAGATACCAGCAAAAACCAACGACATGTTTTAACTGTAACTTAGAATTCTAGCTGAAATATTTTTTTGAGTGTAGATAGTTATTTTGATGGTCAGAAAAAAATTCCCTTCGGATCTGTATCTGGCTAAATTTTTAGATCCCTCGACCCAAGACAGTTCTTTCCGTTGCAGTTGTACACCACACTCGCAGAAATATTTCCCACAAATTATTTCGCGCGATTTATCGAGCGTCACATTACAGAGATCTTGGCAACCTATACAAGACACGAGGGTTCTTACCGCTGAAGATTTTCGGTGGTCGATAAAACGGTACGTCATGGATCGGACCGATGTTCGAAGAAAGTCGGTTGAACCTTTTTCAGACCGCGAGGCGACGACCACGACGACTTCGACGAGGATGAGGACGAGAGAGTCTGTGCTCACTTTCCCTCGCGACGCGAGGCAAACGCGTATCGTCCCCGATCGCTAAAGGGTACCATCACCGCGATGGCGAATTCGCTTTCGCAGATCCCGATCGTGAACACAGATGCCGACGGTTTGCACACGAAACCGACGGGGTCGAGTGACGCGAAACCTTTCTTCAATGATGGACGATAAATAAGCTAAGTAATTTTCCTTTTTGAATTTAGAGCTCCGCAGGATTAAATTCGAACGTCCGTGATATAATTGCGAGTGAGCCGAGAATTATTCAATCGCCCTAAGTAACCATTTCAATCTAACGACGGCTGATTTTATTAGATTAATTACATTTAAAACTCGATTTGCTGGATTTGTGAATATTATATGTAAAAATGCGTAATATCATGCCGAAAGTCAAATAAAGAAAAGATAAATGGATGTATCTAAGTTTGTTTCGTTTGGAAGTTAAGTTAGCTTAAGAATCTGATGGGAGTATTCTGCTCGATTAGCAGGCAGGCAAGGCAGAATTGCACGGCCTACGTTAACTCGAGCGAGTTTAATCATTCCGGACGAGCGGGATCTATCCGCGAACCGCACTAAAACGATAATCGATTAAGCAGAGGTCGAGGGAAATTGGCACGAGAGACTGACTGGCAGGACGAAGGTAACGGATGACGAAATCAAGGACATCAGCCCTGCTATTACGTCGAAACTATCGTTGGAGTATCGCATTGAATTATGTGAAAAAGAAGATTTATGGTCAGGCAAAATGGAATCTCGCGTTCGAACGTTACATCGAATAACGTAACGTCCGCGATGCGGACGATAAAAGCTTTCTACGTGGCTTTTCACGTTAATTAGCTAATGTGATACCGGCAGATGTGATGAATAACTTTGGATAATAACAATTCTCGCTTTATTACAATACCTAATTCACTTGTGTAACATAGTAAATTAAAGCTAATAAAATTATTATTCTATTATCAAATAAAAAAATATATATATAATTCTTCCTCTATCTTTTTCTCTTGTAAAAATGTAATCGTATATAAAATCGTACGTTATTAAAATTGTTTAAATAAATAAACTTTTACATTAAATGTTTTTATATAAATAGATTTGCCTTGCGTTGAGATTAGTTACAAAGATAGATATGTCACAACAAAAAAGTGTTTCAGTGCTGATTATTCCAATTCCATTTAGCAGTTTGCGATAAAATCAGAGTACTCATGTTCGTGCCACGATAAAAGTTATATCATATAAACATTTGCGTATTACGAAAGACTCGTCCTTCACAATTTTCATACAAATTTTTTATAAGCAAAATTACAAATTTCAAATTTAGAGTGAGATTGAATTTGGGAGGAATTTTATACAAAATTTTTCCTATATTCTGTATCATATTTCAAGATTTTTGATAAATAAAATGAGGACCACCGAAATTTCTATTTTTAACATTCAAGTAGAAAATGCTGTTGCAATGTGAAATTTATTCAGATCAGTTTCCCATTTCTTCTTTTATTTTTCTTTTTATTAAATCTTTGGGAAAATATGGCTAAAAATAATATCTCTCTCTCTCTCTCTCGCCCCTCCTTTCTCTGAATTTTCGATCATAAAATCTTAAAATTATAGCATTATTATTTTAAAATTTTACACAAGAAAAATTTTTTTCAAGTTTCTCCAAAAAATCTCCATCAATTTCTCCAAAGATTCGAACGATATTCTAAAGTATCATTTCCTTTCTTAAATAGCCAGGACACCCGGTATACATGTATATAGTACGTCGTACGAAATAGGAAATACGAACGGTTTGCTGGTGCACTGTCGAAGGGGTTGGTCGTACACAAAGTAGATATACGCACATACACGCACGCATACAGACGTGGAATAACCCATTTCGGGGTTAGTTCGCTAGAGCCGGTTTCCTCTTCCTGCTCCATTCTCTTTCCTCCTCTTCTCT